TCAGTCATCACTTAGGCTTTTAACTCTTTTCAGGCTTACACCATAACAACAGCAGCGCCAGCACGAGCAAAACACAACGCCTGACGTACACCTCCGCCGTACAATAACACGCTTAAGGCAGTGAAACTCTTTTATGTAGGTAATATTATTGTTGTTCGGTTCTCTTATATCCTTTATGCCACTAACCAGGTGGATGAAGAAGGAATGAACGAACGGAAAACTGAGAGAATACAAGAGAAATATTTAATCACGTCCGATTATGATGCAAAAGTTGAAAATAAATCCCTATGGAGGTAAGAGTGTCAGGTAGGGGTGGTGGTGATCCCTGTGGTAGCTAAGTAACCTCAACCCCAGTGTGCTATGTCCTGTTGCCTAGACGAGAGAGAGAGGCCATCATTAAACACTAAACCCTGCCTGGATCAACGCTATCGCATCTCTTTATGGGTGAGGTTTTATCTAAATGGAAGCAGTTCAGTTCTGGTAACAGTGTAACCTAACATGGAATGATTATTATTGTTATTGTGTGTGTGCAGAATTCCTGCCTTCTGCACGAACCACTGCCTCGAGTCATGTCTCGTTTCATGAACAACTAAACAAGGTGAATACAATACCATAATTATGTTAACTCGACGTTTTATGATAATTTCGGGCCTATCAACACCCCCCTTAGCCCCATGTGCTCTCTGTTGGAGTCTTCCTCTAGGTTTGTTCATTCTGCAATAAATATCGAACAACTATTTTGCTATTTTCCGACATATTTGTCTGTATACGACCACGCAGGTTTATAATGTGACTGAACTTATATGAATAACATACAGGGTCTCCTTACCTCGCGATGCTTGAGACCACATTGCCCCTATGGACATTTCTGCCTTCCCAAACAGTGGTTCGTGCAGAAGGCAGTGATCCACCCCCCCCTCCCCCACACACCTACGTCAGGTTACAGTTACCAGAACTGAACAGCTTCCAGTTTCAAGACCTCTCACCCAGGGGGCCCGTTTCTTTTATGAGTGACTGTACCAGTACCTATACTCTCTCTCTCTCTCTCTCTCTCTCTCTCTCTCTCTCAGGCAGGAGGGAGGAAGAAAAGCACCTCACTCTACCTTCACCAACACTGAGGCAGATCGTGTATAAAGGATCCGAATTTTTAACTTCCTGAGGATTACATTAAGCTTAGCCACCCCAGCTTATTTCACTTTAAGATTAACCTCCCTAATAATAACCTGAAGCTTAGTCATCCCTCCAGCTGATTTCACTTTAAGATTAACTACGCTAATAATAACCTGAAGCTTACCCACCCCAGCTTATTTCACTTGACCACCCTAACAATAATTTAACTTAAAACACCCCATCGACAACTTCGCTAACCTAACCTAACCAAACTTAAATCTATATTTTCTTGTAACTGACACACACACACACACACACACACACACACACACACACACACACAAGAGGGCATACAAGATTATTCTCTCCCCTTCCTACTCCACATATCAAGAAGCGCTCAACACACTGACCCTTTCGACTCTCACTGACCATCACCACGACCTCATCTGCAAATTTGGTAAGAAGGTTCTGCACCATCCTCGACACCGGCTCCAACTACCACCTGAGATCCCTAGCCCGAGAATTGCTGTTCGACACCACAACCGCTTCCAGCCCATACGTGCACGAACTGATCGCGATAAGAACAGCCCAGTCCCAACCATTGTAAAAATTATCAATAAATTGTAATAAACCAGTGTATTCACTCCCAGTAAATCCTACTTCTTGCACTGTCACTATGTTGAAATGAACTGTAGTTTGAGCCTTTCCCCATCTAGTTATTATATGTCTTATTTGTGTCACTTATGTTACTTGTATATTATTTGTAAATCGAAACCCATTCCCCAATTATGTACCTGTATATTTTCAGCCTTCTGGCTGCTATGCTCTTTCAATAAACCGTTAATTATTATTATTATTACACACACCTTAACTAGATCCAATATGGCGTCAATAATACACTGAGACTCTACCTTAACACCAGTTATAGAGGAAAGGATAATAATCATGATTTATTTTGGTTATTTTGAAGGCCTAGAATCTTCGTTAACTTAAACTCTCACTCATAAACATCTCACTTATAAATTCAGACTCACGTATAAACACAAATATCTCACTTATAAATTCAGACTCACTTATACACACAACACTCGCTTATAAACACAATATCTCACTTAAAGACACAAACTCTCATTTATTAACTCACTTATTACCTCAATCTCTTATTTTTAAACTTAAGATTTACTTATACACTCACACTTTCACTTATAATCTTCAGACTCTTACTTATAATCTTCAAATCATAACCTCAGACTCACTTATAAACTAAAACTCTTATGGTAAAACCTCTATTTAACGGACTAAGTGGAGAGAAAAGTCCGTTATATCGAGGGTTCGTTAGATAGGAAACTTCCCATCTAACGGATTATATGGAGAGAGAAATCCGTTATATGGAGGTTTAACTCTACTTAAAATGTCAAACTCTCACTTATAACTTAAACCCTTACTTGTAATCACAAATCAAGACGTTCTTTAGTCCTTAACATAACACAGTGCCAACACGAGCAGTCAACAGCGCCTGAGGTTCACTTCTAAGCTTTATGAACGTTTGTTCGCCTTCTGCCAACAGTGGCGTTTGAGATTCTGCTGTTATCCGGTGCACAGTGGGACGATAAAGAGCTCTTGTTGTTAAGGTACAGTTCTAGCGTAATTTCAAAGCCATTTTATAGGTTATCTTTACGCTTTAGTTTAATTGGAGGTATTGGCTGGGTTCTCACATCGCCCTTTGGAGGTACTGGGGCCATATAGCCACAGTTAGTGCAGCCTTCCTAACAACGCAGTTGTAGAGGAGACACTAACGTTGGAACCTTTAATAATCGTGAACGTGTCAAGTACCCCCCCGTCACTACATGATAGTTTGGTTTAACTGAACTAATGAAGAAGGAAGCACCACACGAGCAGTGGTCCCGGTGTGGACGCCTCGCTACATTAAACTGTTGAGTGTCCACAAGGTCGCCCCACTCAACCTGGCCGACGCTGTCCTGGAGCGAGTGTTGTTACGGCGGAAGTGACACACTTGACCATTATTAAATATTTTTTCCTGGCGGTGGAGAGTGACAACACCGGTGTAGGTCGGAGGTGAGTTTTGGTGCCTAGACAGGGGAGCCAACGTGGTCAGTGTTGACACTCAACAGGCAGCGCGGCGAGGCCTGACAGCCCCGGCGGCCTCAGTCATTCATAAAGATGACCATGTTAAATAATATTCCTCGTAAGTAAATACATAAGAATAAACCTGCCTGGTGGACGTAAACTACAACACAAAAACAACATCAACATTACACTGAGAAATAAACTTAACTAAACATATTCACTTAGCGCCAGTAAGGAGGTAAAATTAACCCTGAGAATATTTTATATAATTCTGAACCCTTATTTGGCTTCACGGGTGTACGGACAGTATCTAGTTAAGTCAGACCCGTCAAGTATATAACACTGGTGCTATTTTGGGTCCATCTTTTTTTCTCGCTTTAACTTATCGATTATTTTATGTAAATTCTTGTCTTTAACTACGACGAATATTATTTTTAGGAACCTTAGAGAACCTTACCTCTTACAACCCCATACTTCACCCGTCACTCACCGCACGTACAACAACAAATACTTCACCCGTCACTCACCGCACGTACAACAACAAATACTTCACCCGTCACTCACAGCACGTACAACAACAAATACTTCACCCGTCACTCACCGCACGTACAACAACAAATACTTCACCCGTCACTCACAGCACGTACAACAACAAATACTTCACCCGTCACTCACCGTACGTACAACAACAAATACTTCACCGTCCTCACCGCCACAACAACAAATGCTTCACCCGTCACTCACCGCACTTACAACAACAAATGCTTCACCTGTCACTCACCGCACGTACATATAAATACTTCACCGTCACCCTACCGCGCCCACAACAACAAATGCTTCACCGTCACTCACGCCCTTACAACAACAAATCACTTCACCCGTCACTCACCGCACATTACAACAACAAATACTTCACCGTCACTCACCGCACTTACAACAACAAATGCTTCACCCGTCACTCCCACAGCACTTACAACCAACAAATACTTCACCCGTCACTCACCGCACGTACAACAACAAATACTTCCACTTATCACTCACCGCCTTACAACAACAAATGCTTCACCGTCACTCACAGCAAATGCTTCACCGTCACTCACAACAATGCCGTCACTCACAGCGCCTGGCAACAAATACTTCACCCGTCACTCACAGCACTTACAACAAATACTTCACCCGTCACTCCACAGCACTTACAATAACAAATACTTCACCGTTACTCTGCACGTACAACAACAGCAACAACAACAAATACTTCACCCGTCACTCACCGCACGTACAACAACAACAACAACAAATACTTCACCTGTCACTCACCGCACGTACAACAACAAATACTTCACCCGTTACTCACCGCACGTACAACAACAACAACAACAACAAATACTTCACCCGTCACTCACCGCACGTACAACAACAACAACAACAAATACTTCACCCGTCACTCACCGCACGTTCAACAACACGTTACCACCACTCGTTACAAAGGTTCATTGTCCCAGAGATCTCAACTACCATCCTCGATTAATTTTGAGGTACTTTCACGATAATTAAATCCAGGTTAGATTAAGGCTAGGTTAGGTTAGGTAAGTTTAGGTTAGGTTAGGTTAAGCTTGGTTATGTTGTTCAGTTACCGCACTTCACGTTAACCTTCTGATACTGTTATGAAGATTATGTAACACCTGATGGTTTAGGACACTCACCTGGGGCTGGTTTAGGACACTCACCTGGGGGCTGGTTTAGGACACTCACCTGGGAGCTGGTTTAGGACACTCACCTGGGGGTTGGTTTAGGACACTCACCTGGGGGCTCGTGGAGGACACTCAGGTGTGAGGGACGGAGAGTTGGCCAGGGCCCCATTGACCAGTGGTGACGCACGCCTGCAACAGACCCCCCACGCCCATCCTCTCACGCCGCACGCCCACCACGCCTCCCACTAGCCGCCCTGGGGATCTCCACCACCTGGGTAGCCCGCCGCAGGTCCCCCGGGGAGGTGAAGGGGGGGCGGCGCCCGTGGGGCAGGGACTATGGACTAGGTGTAGTGATGACGGGTGTGTGGGATGGGCGGGCTGGCGTGGGAGCAACAACAGTAGCAGGGCGCCAGGGAAGCGGGGCGGGGGACCAGCAGGGCCACCACGTTCCACAGCGCGAGCAGCAGAGAGAAACTGGAGTCGCACTGTCCCATCCACAGGTGGCAGAGGGTAGACGTCCACTACTTCACTGCTGCTGCCACTGGCCCCGCGCCACCCCGCCCCGCCCCGCCCCCACCTGCCCTCACTCCGCCTGCCCTGCCCCAGCCCCGCCCACCTCACCATCTCCACCACAGGGGACGCGGCCCTCTCCTCCACTACCACTCTTCTCCCTGCATGCACGCGCCCCACCAATCACACGTCACACCCCTGCATCTCAGGCCCGCCCCCAGCTTCTGCAGAGACAAATCATAGGAAGGCAGCATCCTAGACACGCCCACTGGCTCCACCCAGTGTGTGCTGATCCTTCACCTCCAGCGGTCCTTAAGACGCAAGATTATTTTATCTCAATTTCTCTTTGCATGGTCTCCTCCCCCCTACTCTACCTAACCTCCTTTGCCTCAATCTCTTCCTTCCATCCCCCCTTTTTCTTCCTGTCTCTCCGTTCTTTAAACTCTTCCCTTAGCTCTTCTCCTTCCCTCCATCCCTTTCTTCTGTCTTTCTTCTTTCACTTCCTCCTCATCCCCCTCAACACCTCCCCTGTGCCGCTATCGATATAGTCAATATGAAATCTGATGCTGACGCCACCAGGTCAAGGCTGACAGCTAACCTGTTGCTAGTGCCACCAGGTCAAGGCCGATACTATCCTGTTGCTGACACCACCAGGTCAAGGCTGACCGCTAACCTGTTGTTAGTGCCACCAGGTCAAGGCCGATACTATCCTGTTGCTGACACCACCAGGTCAAGGCTAACCGCTAACCTGTTGTTAGTGCCACCAGGTCAAGGCTGACCGCTAACCTGTTGTTAGTGCCACCAGGTCAAGGCCGATACTATCCTGTTGCTGACGCCACCAGGTCAAGGCTGACAACTAACCTGTTGCTAGTGCCACCAGGTCAAGGCCGATACTATCCTGTTGCTGACACCACCAGGTCAAGGCTGACCGCTAACCTGTTGTTAGTGCCACCAGGTCAAGGCCGATACTATCCTGTTGCTGACGCCACCAGGTCAAGGCTGACAGCTAACCTGTTGCTAGTGCCACCAGGTCAAGGCCGATACTATCCTGTTGCTGACACCACCAGGTCAAGGCTGACCGCTAACCTGTTGCTAGTGCCACCAGGTCAAGGCCGATACTATCCTGTTGCTGACACCACCAGGTCAAGGCTGACCGCTAACCTGTTGCTAGTGCCACCAGGTCAAGGCCGATACTATCCTGTTGCTGACACCACCAGGTCAAGGCTGACAACTAACCTGTTGCTCGTGCCACCAGGTCAAGGCTGAGACTAACCTGTTGCTGACAACACCAGGTCAAGGCTGACACTAACCTGTTGCTGACAGCACCAGGTCAAGACTGACACTGACCTGTTGCTGATACAACAGAGCCACACGATAGTGCCATGACACCCATCAACATACAGTAACATATACTGTGTTTGTTTACGCATATTTATAGGGATTTTACGCTTAGAAAACGCAAATGATGCATAGCGACGCAAAAAAAAACACCCATTACACAAAAAAAATAATTAAAAAACGAAACCAATAAAAACACGCAAATAATAACAAAACACACACACACACACACACACACACACATGCATGGGTTACCGTATCACAGTACATTCACCCACAACCTTTTAGAAATCAGTGAATGAACAAATGAACGAATCAACTTTCCTTCAGAGACCCAAGTGAAGGAAAATATATTACGACACTTGCGGGGCACCAACACCTACTTACACGCGGTAAAATTGTCGTCAGTGGAGTCAGAAAGGCGGGTTCCCGGGGAGGAGAGGGCATGATTACATTGAGCCAAAAATAGTGAAAATAAATAAAAATACAATAAGATTTTTGAAGGTGTGCGTGTTTTTTTTTTTTGTCTTTGTATGTGATTCTTTATGTGTGTGTGTGTGCTTGCTTGTGTATTATTATTATTATTATTAGTTGTAGTAATAGTAGTAGTAGTAGTAGTAGTAGTAGTAGTAGTAGTATAAGTAGTAGTAGTAGTATTAATAGTAGTGAGGAAAGAAGATGTGACGAGGGGATGGATCATTATTACCCAGCAAGGAGGTAGTTTAGGTGGTGGTGGTGGTGTGGCCGAGGTGAGGTGAGGAGGTCGGACGGCTGGTAGCACACAGTGACACAACACCGGTCAGCGTAGCACTGTCTATCATTCTCAATCTTTCTTCTAGGCTCTTACCAGGTTTGTGTTTTTGTATTTGTGTGTGTTTTGTCCACATGTATGTATCCGTGTGTGAGAGAATCTTCATCCGTTTGTTTGTTTGATTGTTTGTCAGTCTGCGTGTGTCTACTTACATGTCTTTCAGTGTGTCTATGAGTCTGTCTGTCTACCTGTCCGTTCACTGTCTATGTTACTGCGGTGACTACTACAGTACAGAGAGAGCTGCACCATTAAAGCATGACTTGGGGCTAATGTTTGACTATACAGTACAGTGCTCTCACTCCATGGTTCCCGTGTCTCCACTGTGAAATGAATTCCAAAAGTGTATCCGGTAGGTCGTGACCTCTTATGTTTGCGGTGTAATAACAAACCATCGGTAAACTGAACTAACCTAACGCAGCTTGACTTAAAAGTTAATGATGTTAAATAACTTCGTCCATGCTAATGTCTTGAGTCGAATGTAAATATTTAGAACGAAACCTTCAATTATGACGTCTGTTTTTTTTGTGATTGAGGATTGTGATGGTCCTATAGACATTAACGGTTATATTGAGTATTGGGACCCTCCTAGTCTTTAATAATGGCTTACTTACGGTAGTGTTATAAATGATCTAATGCAGGGAAATGGTATTGTGGTTTGTTTAAGGTATATAGTTTGACTAGACAAATCCCTGTTCAGTCAGTGCCGCTCCTTGGGTCCTGTAATTTTAATATGCTGAAGACATATTCTCGGCTGGTGATGGGATTTGATCTCTGCCTCGCCAGAATATGAATTGCATCATGAGAAACTAGTTAAAGTTCTGTAAGAATGGAAATGTCTGAGGCAGTCGAGCTCTAGTAATTTAAATAAATCCCGGTCCCCTTCCCGGTAGTTCTTGCTTCCATCTGCCTTGACACGGGAAATTTATCGCAGAGTATTTCTTCAATTATGTGATCACTTTAAAAATGAAATTTTCAGCCTCGTGAAAATGTTGACTCGGTAACAATTATCAAAGTTCTTCTTGAAATTTTATTGTGACACGGTAGACATATTTTCCACAACCCCATACTAGTTCTGGTGCTCGAATAACTGCCAAAGAAAATACGGGATCACCTGAAGATTAGCCCCCAGTAATATCGCTTAAAGATTAACCACCCTAACGCAGCCCCCATCCTTCTGGTAGCCTTAGGGGTGAAGTCTGCTTAAGGGAGGCAAATCTTCAGGCCATTAAGGAAAAATGTTGTACGGTGCATCTCTACAAAATTAGAATATTACAAAGTAAAGTGAATTTTATTAGTTATTTAGGGGCTGTTACAGGTGTTTATCTACGTCATTTTATTACAGATGGCGAAGTATTTGGTGACGGTTGCGTGTGTGTGGACGCTAGGGTCGTCCTGGGCCCAGCAGTACAAGGTGGCCCCTGCAGCAGCTGTGGTTAGTGCTGTGTTGTGATGTTTGAGACTTGACTCTCGCTCGTGACTTTGTCCTGGCTTGTGTTGTGTTAATGGTCGAAATCTTTATTGTGGGTGGGTGTGGCTTATAATCTACAGTATATCTTATAATTTGTCTTTAAGCGAAAATCGTCCTTTTACTTCAACAGCTGGGTGATGGAGGTCCCGTCGTTCTGGGACAGTCGGGTGGAGACTTTGGCAATGTCGCCCAACTTAACCAGCTCGATGGTCGTCCTGGATTCGTCGGCCTGTCTGGACAGAACCCCTTTGGTAATGTGTTCCAGGACAGATCCCCATTCTTGCTGGGACAACTGGGCCAGACCTCCCTGACAGGTGACGGTGGGAGCCTCCTATTGGGTCAGGCCGGCAGCGGCGGATTCCAGGGCGGCAGCGGCGGATTCCAGGCCGGCAGCGGCGGATTCCAGGCCGGCAGCGGCGGGTTTGTAGGAAGTGACGGTCAGCCTGTGACTGTTAGTCAGGCAGGACAGGTGGGCGGCAACGTGTTTGTGGGCCAGCAGCAGCAGCAAGGTCGAGAGGTGACTGTGACACAAACCAGGACAGTTGACAGATTCGTCACCACCACTGACCTAGCCTTCAATAGCGTCCCTGTCACCATTACCGAGTTCAACAAGGTGACGGTGACCCTCGCAACACACCAGGTGAGACGGCTTTGTCAGATTATATATTATACAGAACGTCTAACAATTTACACACCCCTTAAAGATGTTGAGAGCCTCCTGAGTGCTCGCAGCAGCAGCAGCTTTCTCCCGTGTAGTCTCCTCACATCAACAAGTGAGGACACAGTTGTTGTAATACAAGCATTCGTGGTATCTCGACGAAAAACTGACAAATGTCTATTTAAGACCAGATACAATTATAAGTTTCAGTCGTAAGACTTGATTACGGAATAATTAAATTAGGAATTTAATCCTAAGTAGAAATGCCGTGTAAATAAATTATTAAACCTAAAGGAACATTGATGATGAAGGTTGTATTCCCTGTGCAGGTGCTGGTGACGGCGGTGAACAACGTGGTGCAGGTGACCACCGCCCTGGTGACCAGCACCTCCACACTGACGGTCACCGACGTTATCTCTGACTTCCGCTTCGTGACGCAGACCTCCACGGAGATCCAACCAGTCACTCACACTGCCTACAACATAGACCAGACCACCTTCACCTCCAACATAGTTCAGAGGTAAGTGGTCCCTACCTTCTCGTTTTGTTGCCATACTGGATAGTGTTGCCATGTGGTGTTGACATGCTTCTTACTGTATTTGTTCGTTTGTTACCCAAAATGTGTTGTTTCAGGGTGGTGGTGACGTCGACATTCGTACGGACCAACATACTGACTGATACCAAAACGGTGACAGAGCGACGCTTCGTATCAACCGTGCAGTTCGTCCCCGCCACTTATTATTAGCGCCGCTCCTCAGTTCGCCTCGGCCACTTGCTTCTAGCACCACCTCACTTACATCGCTACTTGATCATATTTATACATAAAATCATCCTTGTATTCTTTAAAAATAATGAATATGACCATAATAATGACTTTCAATTCGTAAGAAGTTTGACCTTAAATATATATACCTGAAACTGACCTGACCTAACCCATCCTGAATTGTCACAGAAACCAAAGTGTACTTGGTTCTATTTTTTCCCCGATAGCTATCCTACCTGTGGGAGGCAAAGAGGGAAAGAGGAGGTGGGAGGGAAAGAGGATTTGTAGGGGAGTAGTAGGTGAGAGGGAAGGGAAGGAGGGGTGAAGGATTTAAGGAAGGGGTTATGTACAGAGGAGAGCACTGAGATAGAGGATACATTAACCACATTTATGGCAAAAAAAAATCCCCTATGACGCCACCATCGTAGTAACAGCCTCACCCAGTGTCAACAGATGTAATTTGACAATATTGTTTGCGTATATAGTTACGGTTAGTTACACCACACTTCATAACTTTGCACCTTGATAAATTATATTGGTGAAAGACGTACGAGCTCCACTTCTTAATTACTTTCTCGTAAAATGGAAGTAGACGGAAACAAAGTAACGCCACTAAATGGTGACAAGTGACCAATACTAAGAAGGAAGTACAGTACAGTGCGTGTGGAAATTGATAGCGAGAGAAGACAAGGAGAAATCTGGTTATAATCTACTGGGGGGGGGGGGACATTGTAAACCATAGTCTATTGAGCACTAAAAATGAATACTAAAATTTTTAATAGTAAAAAAATTAATGCTGTAAAAATACTAAGAAATAATAATAAAAGCGTCCTAATCAAAATGAAAAATTATACTTGAAGAAAATAAATGTTCTTCCTCCAAACACACTTCAAAAAACGAGCCGAGACGAGGAAGCAAGTGGATCTGATAACGTGTAACAAAAGAATGTACTGTATAAACGCCCAAGTAAAAAATAAATAGCTATGTTTAATATAATTGTCCCATGTGTGATGTTAGTGCGTTGTTTGAAGGTTTATTTGTTCAGTTCATCATAACTTTACTGGGTCTGTTTTGTTTACTCCCGATCATCGCGTCACTTGTTGAGGGTCGCTGGGTGTAAAGTTGATGCGGCGGGTCACTGGTATTAGCTGTAAAAAAAACCAATACCATAGTTTTAAATAATCATGTTGAAATTACTGAAAATATTAAATATAGTTTGTCGGTCTTTATTCTTTTGCCTAACCTAACCCAAGCCCAACTTAACCTAACCTAAGCAGTCAATGGGATCTTTTATAGCACCGAATGAAAATGCATGGACTGCTGGCATGGCCCATAAAACACATCCTACAAAAATTCAAACCACAATTTGTATCCCAGCGCCATATTGCTACTGTATTTGCATATGTAATTGATCATGGAGCAGGTGAGTTATGAAGGGTTTTTCATTATAATTATTCAGTTAAAATGGAAACGAAAAACAAAACGGGAGAGGTCGACTTCCTCACAACACCTTATTTACACACACACAATAAACAATATTTATATAAACTGCTCAACTATGAAGTACAGTAATTTGATATCAATACACACCTGATACACTACAGCAGGAGCTCTAAACTTTTTGTGTGGCATTTACCCCAGTGTTGGCATGACCAGTTTATTTACCATCACCCCAGAAATAAGTATAACCATGACATAGGCTACCGTGTGAGTTTGGCAACGAACACTGATAACCTACAATTTTCACTCGTGTTTAAATATTTATATATACAGGTAGACTGAAATCAGCTTTAGCAATCCAATTACAATATTTCATATGTTTATACTGGACTCAATTACCTTGAGTCTGAACTCTCCGCTTCGATTAGAAAAATTCGGGACTAACGGTGGCGGCATGCTGGGCACTTTCCTCCAAACATGCTGCCTGTTTTGCTGGCCTGAACGCCCAACAAGCAGCAGGATTTCGGCTGTTGTTAGAAATGGTCAACGGTTTGGCGTGGATCTTTGCTGGCTGGATTAGTGCTCAAATGAGCTTCATATAATTTCAAGCAGAAATTAAAAAAATCATGAAACTACAATCATTTAAAATATAATACATAAACGATGACATATCTATCTATTCGTCACTGTAAAACTTCTTTAGTATTATTAAATCATTATTCAGGGTCTTTTAAAGAAACATCACAACACACCCATTGTCTTTTTTTTAAGCTTTTGCAGACACTACACTTGCTTCAGCAATTGAAGAACTATAGCACAATCTTGCAAGGCCTCAACTGTAGTGACGGGATCCATGGCGAATCTCGTCTAGGCACTTTGTTGTTGCTTTCGTTACGTTGGGCAGACGCACCAACAAAACTCCCCTGTGTGACGCAAAACGTTGCTGCTGCTCATATCAACGATTTCCGTAACAAGACTGAAAATCAAGACTGCAGCATTGAATTGATCACATACCTGATGCTCTTGCAACACGGATAGAGTTGTCTTTCTTAATGTCGAAATAGTTTATTGAATGTGTCTTTGTCTCATGGTCTCAAACTGTACTGGTGAATAAAGCTTTTCAAAACTGCAACTGATCAAAGATGAAACACGAGCAAAAACGCCTGAACATGCTCTCAATGTTATAACATAGAAACTGGCTTCTTCCGGGAACGGAATTTTGATGATGTGACTCGAGATTTCACAAGCCAGAGAGCTCGCAAGGTGAAGGTCTTTGGTTAAAAATTAGTCAACAAACGAAAAGCTCTTTATTTTTTGTTACGTATTATTCAGTTTCAGCAGATGAAAAATACAGTGGTAAAGTTATTCATTTTTATTCTTTATTATATATCAAATTCTATATTATGATACCACGCCTGTGCATACTGTAGTGTTCATATAAATGACGAAATTATATATATATATATATTCAAAAGGTCCCCCAAATAGAATTAGCCTCAGGCCCTAAGTACAACTTAATCCGCTCGTGTCTGTGGCTCTTATCGCTGTATGTTAGATATCAAATACATATTTTCTTTTTTAAAATGCGATAAGTTATCATCTTGACAGAATCTCTCTATCTCACACAGCTTAAATAAGCTTAAGTTCTTTTCGGAATATTGCAGATAAAACTTGGCTGGAGCCGCTGGGCTGGAGAAGTCACGAGCAAAATCTATTAGCAAGGTATTTTAGTCATGAGTCACTGTGTCTGCTCACCATTCTCTACACGGAGTTACTGGTGTGGCGAGACAGTGTCGTCATCAATCCAAATCTGAATTTGTGTTTTCAGAATACATCACACATTATGTAATAAAAACTATGACACATGGCCGAATATATTGGGACTTTTGTAAGGAAAAATAATATAATTTGTTCGTGTCTTTAATTGGTATAAGTAAGTCAGTACTTATTACGCGAAAATCACTTCAGGATTCATGAACCGTGCGACGCCAGAGTTTTAAAATTCGACGAGAATTTCGTAGTTCGGACGGTGACTGAGAAAATTCGAATCAGTATGGACTCGGGTGAGCGCGGCCGTCACCGTCAGTTACCAGTACTCAGTAGCCAGGTGGTGATGTGAGAGTGAGGAGACGTAGAGGACCTTGACCTTGTGTGCCGTAGCAGATTATTATCACTTTCTGCAACTCTCAAGTTATCCTTGTTCCTCAGGTCCTTCCTTGCTTGTCCTGGGACACTACACACCTGCTGTAGTGTGAGGTGGGCGGGAGACAGTGCCTACAGCGGCACCATTGTTTCCATTTCACCAATGGCGTCTCTCTCAATGTCACTGGCTTTAACATTCAGCTTGCCTCCGCGTTGTGAGTTTGCCCTACAATAATTAACAATGATTCTTTTCCACAGAATCATTAATAATTTCAGAATTAATTATTTTAAATTGAAAACATGACAGCCTAAGTTTCGTCAATTCAATTATTTACAATTGAACAACATATGAAGATCAGCTTAATCACTTCATTTCTTGATACTGTTCTTCTGGGGGAATCTTCTTGGTTCACTTAATGCGTGTAATAGAAGGTCGGTGGTGAAATAAGACTTGTGTGAGAACCTTCATGCAGCAGACACATTGAACTGCCTTGGGGTCGTCAGGTCAGGTGAGGCTTGGTAGGTTAGTGTCGTCTGCTGCTGGAACACTTCACACCGGGACCGCCTCTAAACTGGTTCTTAGGTCTTTGTTTTTAGAACCTTTATTACTGTAGTGCACCTATGGTTAATGGATCCGGTATTGAAACTAAAAAAAAAATTAAATATTCTGTAGTTGTCATGCGCGGAAATTATTATGGAAAAACTTTTTTTTCATTGTTTCATATGAATTTTACCTTCATTTCCGTCGAAAATGAGTAGTTAAAAGAGTTATGACCCATCCCCCTCAATTACCAACGTTGTGCGGTGAAATAAACGTAAAAACGACTCCCAAATATCAGTATACATGTGTAACTTAGCCTAACTAGAGAAACCAGAAGAGCCTGGACCTAACCTCATGTCCAGCGGGGCTCCGAGCCTTACCTAGCCAAAATTTACCCTAATTAACATACGGAGGAGGATCTTGACGATACAGGCAGCCTGAACTACACCTTGGAGACTTTACTGAACCAAATAGAATACCAAGAGACCTGAAGACATCAACAGCTGCGGCTTCGTTCTCAAATATATTTGGTTTAATTAGACACCAATCTCCCATCGAGCAACTTCAAAGAAATAAAGTACCTTGCCCAAAGAGACACCATCTTGCAACCACACAATTCAAGTTCCTAAGCTTGATCATGCTCACGAGTATCCCGTAACATCTAAACACTGGCTGACTCAAATAAACACTGTAGTGTATATCGCCGCAAACTTGTATTCTCTTTTAAGTGAAATATAAAAGTAAAAAAAAAAATCACTCAAAAACGCTATAAAGTATTTTATTTAAATATTTTTTTTTTTGCTCTATCTCCCTATATAAGAATCAATATAGAGTTCCGTGCATGGCAACTACGGAATATTAACCCCAAAACTTTTTAATTTATGTTGGAAACTGCGAGTGGGCCGTAGGTGAATCAGGTGGAACGAACCATGGAGCATTACCAGTGACAGTTTTAGTCACCTCGCCAGAACGTAAAGTA